GCACATTCTTGACTAACTCATTATCTTATAACTTCAAACACCGTACAAAGTTATCTCTACTCGAAATGTCTTCTTAGAATATACAAACATCAGTTCATTTTTCCTACTTTTTTATCTTAACAAGGTCTATTTAAAAATATTAACAAGCTTACAAATATCTTTCGGCCCTTAACCAACACTCCCCATCTTTAAATAACGTCTTCACTTCTCTGAAGTTGGACATTTTTGTGATTCTCAGACACTTTTGCATCTGGGCCTCCATTGTCCCTACTGATAATGGGTTAGACAGCCTCTAATCCTTTTGTTGTTGTTGTTCAGTTGCACAGTCGAGTCCGACTCTTCGTGACCCCATGGACCACATGGCCTCTAATCGACACAAGGCCATACAGTTACGTCACTACATTGTCTTCTGACTGATCTTCATGGCTGTTCTATCCTGGTTCTCTAGATCCCCTTCTTGGCATGCTTTCTGAGAGGCCAGACTTGCTCTGTTTATGTGTGCCACGATATCCTCTATGATCTTTTTGGTCAAGTCCACCAACTGTTCCCTGTATGTCTGGCCATATCCATGACAGGTCAATGCAACAGTCAAGGGGACCTTTCCCTGAGATACTTCCTCCAACACTGAAAAATCACAAGAGAGGCCAATGTTTCTTTCTCTTTCCTTACCATCCCATCCCATCACTTTTTTCTCCCTGAGCCCTTTGCTTCTTTCTTGTTCCTCTCCTTTTCAGTGTCCACAGATATTGCGAGCGTTGGATTATTTTGTCATTTCTTCCCACTTGCAGTAGGAAATCTGCCTTAGGAACTGAAGTGCAGCAGGAGCAGAAAAAAGCCCAGTTTCACTCAACCTGGTATCTGGCTTTGTTAATTACAAACCACCTTGCTGTATCTTGCGTCTCTGAAGGAATGCATTCTTCTGGACATGTACAGAACGCCTTTTACTCACATATGAATAACCACTGTTAGTCCTATCCACACTGACTTCAATGGACAGAGAAAGGTGTAATTCTCATTTGAACGGTGCTGTGATTCTGCCAACTAGGTTCTCAGGCACACCACTTGATTTTACAGACATACCAGCATACGATCCCTGTAGTGGGAGTCTGCTTTTCTCTCATTCTCTCCAGAGTCTAACCCTGAAGTCCCCAACCTTTTTTGAGCCTGTGACCACCTTTGGAATTCTGGCACAGGGTGGTGGGCAAAACCACAAAATGGCTGCCGCGGGAGGCAAAGCCAGCCACAAAAGGGCTGCTGCAAGCAGTAGAGCCACACAGACACAGAGGAAGCTCAAGTGCAGGACAGAAGATAATTTTATTTTTAAATTTATTTTGGGGATTTTTATTTTGCCCTCCCCAAACAGGCCTAGGGCCGATCATAACAAATCGAGTCAAAGACTCTTTACAACAAAATCACATTAAAATCATAAAAACAACAAACAATAAAATTGGTAGCAGCAATATAGATCTGTTGGGGCCGCAAGGTGGAATCAGATGGGCCCTTTCAGCAGGTTGGGAATGAAAGCAGGGAGACCAACTGAGGTGGATGCCCATCGCCTCAACCAAAGGCCTGGCATAACAGCTCCATTTTGCAGGCCCTGCGGAATGATAAAAGGTCCCGCAGGGCCCTGATCTCCAGTGGGAGCTGATTCCACCAGGCCGGGGACAGGGCAGAAAAAGCCCTGGCCCTGGCCGAGGCTAAATGGATGTCTTTTGGGTCGGAATTAACCAGTAAATGTTGGTCCTGTGAGTGCAAGGCTCTTCGGGGCACATATGGGAAGAGGTGGTCCTTCACCTGGAAAAAGGAGTTAATAGAATAAATCCAATGCTGTGGTGGCAGCTGCCACTAAAATGTTTCCAAAAATATGCATAGCCAATCAGATCTCAAAAGACCAATCAGATGCCCTGCCAGGCAAAGGCCTTGTCTGGCCCCACCCACATTCTACAAACTCTTGGCAGCTGCCAGGAAAAGGGCCAGTGGGCACCATGCTAAGGACCATACGTGTTCTGTTCCGGCAGACACAACCTGCCCCGTCTCTAGGAGGCAGGGGTTCGTCTTGTCTAGTCCTGATGAGCCCTCAGACAAACCCATTTCCTGTCATTCATTGTTGTTTATGGAGCAGAGGTCCATCAGTAGCTATTAGCCACAAGGTCTGGGGCAAGGGGTGCTCTGTCTTCTTGGTGCTTTGGGGGGAGGGCAAACAGTGGGAGGGCTTCTAGTGTCCTGGCCCCACTGGTGGACCTCCTGATGGCACCTGGTATTTTTGGCCACTGTGTGACAGAGTGTTGGACTGGATGGGCCATTGGCCTGATCCAACATTTGCTCCTCTTATGTTCTTAGTGTTTTTATGGAATTGTTTTATAATCACAAAGGTTCTTCTTAATTGTTCAAGCGTTTTAATGTTTTTTATATTCACCGCCTTGGGGAGGGGACCCCGATTGGGTGGAAAGGCATCATTAAAATGTTTTAAGGCTCCGGTCAGACGGGCCGGATATTGCGGGGGGAGGCGTGGCTAATTGTCCCGGCGCAGTTTGATCCGCGATTACGTGATCAGACGCGCCGGCGGCACACCACGGGTCCTTTCCTCGGCGCCGGCGGGTAAACGAGGGACTGGAGGGGAATGCTGCACACCAGCGCAATCACACTATGGGAGTCTGGAGGCAGCCCGTGGCAAACGTTTTCTAGTACTTTGGAGGTACTACTTTTTTAATGCACATTTTCGGTGGTAAACCACGGGTGCACTCCACTTCCCAGATGTTGGGGTGTGATCGCGCCCGGATAATCCGCCTACCATCTGTGCCTCTCCCGCGGCAACTTTGCCGTGTGACCGGGGCCGAAATACAGTAAATAAAATGCAGGCCTTTCAGAAGCGAGCAGGCTGATAGTACCTAAGACCCCCCATTACCATTTCCGCTGTTACGTGGTAGAGTTACGTCCCATAGAATAAAGTAGAAAAAGCCCAGTTTCACTCAACCTGGTGCCTGGTTTTAATTGCTAACTGCAGAACACCTTGCTGTAACTTGCCTGTCTGAAAGACTGCATTCCTCCGAACATGTACAGAACGCCTTATACTCACATATGAATAACCACTGCTTGTCCTGTCCACACAGACGGCAATGGACAGAGAAAGGTGTGATTCAAGCGTAAAGGATGGAACTGCTAATAAATGCAAAGGCGTTACAATACATAAGGCCCAGCCTCCTCCTAGGGGAAATGGGGCAAGTAAAAAAGAAGAAAACCACTTCCTCAAATCACCACAGATGCCTTCAGCAGAGTCTGAGGGACGCTGTACAGAAGCCCCCTGCTGCAGGTTGCATCTTATGGATTTGTGTCTTGGGCGGCATGCCAGACATCACTGGTGACGCACTAGGTGGCTCTTTAAGTTCCTCCTCAAGGGAAAGGTCTCTACAAGGGCTTTTAACAACACTTCCACATCCAATGTGCTACGTTGGTCCTGTGTATGTGTGTGTAAAGTGCCGTCCAGTCACAGTTGAGTTATGGCGACCTTGTAGGGCAGGGGTGTCGAACTCATTTGTTAGGGGGGCCACATCTGACATAAATGAGACCTTGTTGGGCCGAGCCATGTGTATCATAAAATGTAATGCCAGGTAGCGGAGATATAAACTTTATAAAAGACACAAACACAAAGGGTTTTTTTTTAACTTAAAATAAAAACATGCTTAAAACATTAGCACTCTCTGCAATATTTTGTTTATTTAACAGTGTCTGATAACTGACACCTCTTGCTCTGAATTATTGCATCAAAATGTCTGTGCTGTTGCAATCTTCAGTATGCTGTTCAGGTAATCTGTAAACTGCAAGCCTATGACGACGCAGCAGCAGCAGCAGAACTGGAAGAAGAAGCAGAAGACAGCCAGTTCCACTGCGGGCCTGATAGAAGCCCTCTGGGGGCCTGATCCGGTCCCTGGGCCGCATGTTTGACACCCCTGCTGTAGGTTTTCAAGGCAACATACAGGACTCGCAATAATGGGTTTAAATTAAGGGTGGGAAGGTACTGGCTGGATATTAGGAAAAACGTTTTTACAGTCAGAGTTGTGCAACAGCGGAATTGGCTGTCTAGGGAGGTGTTGAGCTCCCCCTCACTGGCAGTCTTTAAGCAGCGGCTGGACAAATCCTTGTCAGGGGTGCTCTAGGCTGATCCTGCCATGAGGCGGTTGGTGGAGCACACCTCCACTTGAATCCAGCTGGGTGACCCTGGGTCAGGCACAGTTCTCTCAGCCCACCATGAGCCTAGCTTGCCAAACAAAGAGCTAGAGCTTCTGGCTGCCAGACAACCCTAGGATCTCCTGGTTATACTACACACACTGCCATAAGATAATAATAATAATTTCAAGGCAACAGATGTTTAGCCGTGGTTTGCCATTGCCTGTCTCTGCCTGGGGACCCTGGTATTCCTCAGTGGTCTCCCATCCAAAAACTAACCAGAGCTGGCCCTGGCTTGGCTTCCAAAATGTGATGATCTTGGGAACCTGGGCCATCCAGGTCAAGGTGTATGTTGCTCCTACCTGATTGTGTTACCAGCAGTGTTCCCTCTAAGCTGAACATTTTTGTCTTAGCTCAGGAAGGGTGGCTCCAGAGCAAACTAATTTATGCAGTGGCTAAATTGCAGGCTCACAACTTTAATGCCCGTAGCTCGCCAACTATAATTTTTGCTCATAAGACTCCACAGCTTAGAGGGAGCATTGATCAAGGTGTATGTTGCTCCTACCTGATCGTGTTATACCAGATGTCCCCTTTATAGAGGACACGTCCTCTTTTTTGCTGTCTGTTCTCTTTTGGGCTCTTTTTTCTTTTTTTAACTGACAAAAACGTCCTCTTTTTACGTTGGAAGGGTTAGGAATAGTCCTAATTAGTCGCGATTCTCTCCGCTTAAACAGTAGGCGTCTTTAAAGCGAGATGTGTCAGCGTCAGCCCTGAAACACATCCTCTTTTCAGCTTCCCAAACCAGAGGGGGAGGAAGAGGAGCCCCACCCTCCCTAATGGGGCACAAACCTTGGCAGGCCGGGCGATGGTGGCTCGCCCAGGCACACGCGCACAGCAAACGGAGCTTGTCTTGGCTCGCGGGCGAGTCGCGAGAGAGCAGCCGCTGGAATCGGCGGCAGCGGGAGAGAGGGAGGGAGGCGGCTTCCTCCTCTCCGCGCCCCCGGGATGCCGCCGCGCAAGGAGCCGCGTCCCGCGGAACCTCCCGCGGGCGGCTCCGCCCAGTAGCGGCCCCTCCCCGGTCCTGGCGCCAGGGCGCAGCCAATGGGCACGGCCGGGGCGGAGCCGGCGTGGGCGGCCGGGGCAGGCGAGGCCGGGCGGATGGAACGCGCGAGTGGGGCGCGCCCTGGGAACGACCGGAGCGCGTCTGCTGCTGCTGCTGCTCCTTCGCCGCCCGCCCGCCCGCCCGCCTTTTTTTTCCCCCGCCCGGCGAGGGAGGCTGCAGGGGTCACTTGCAGTTAAGACTCGTTTTGCACAGGAGTGCAAAAAAAAAAAGCGTGGACTCATTTTGCATAGGATGGCATCTGGGGCCACGTTGAGCGGGGGCGGGGGGCGCGGATAGAAGGGCCGCCTGTCCCCACCGGCCCCCGCGGGTCGGGGTCTGCTACTACGAGGCGCCGCGGAGAAAAGCGCCCCGCGAGGGTCTCTCTGGGCGAGTCGAGAGTGCCTGTCCCCCGGGCCCTCCGCTGGGTCCTGCTGCACCTGCTCGCGCTGGGTCCTCCTCCTCCTCCCCCGGCTCCTGCCTGCAGCCGAGAGGCATCCCGAGCCGGCCCGCGCTCCAAGTCCCAGCCCCACCCCCGCTTACCGCTCATAGCGGACTGGAGCCTCAGCCAGGCCCTTCCCCCAGAGATGGCTGAATAGACGCTCCCTGTTCCCAGACCCCGTGCTGGAGACCGAGAACAAAGACTTCCCTGGGGAAAGGGGGTTCCCCCCCACCCCGCCTTGAGGGAGCCTCCACATCCAGAGGCAGTCGACCACAGGATACCACTGCTGGGAGGCAGCCTCGGGGGGCGGGTTGGTCTGTTCACCAGCCGTGGTGGGAAAGGGGATGCTGGGCCCGGTGGACCAACTGCTGAGCTGATCCAGCAGGGCTCTCCCATCAGCTGGTTGTTGGAAAGAGAAGGCCGGCCTGGTCCTGCAGGGATGCAGATGATCAGGCTCAGTTGCCACTTTAGGAAAGAACCAGTGTCCAAGAGCACTTTATTTATTTATTTATTTATGCTTTCAATTTAATACCCCGCTCTAATCCCATAGTTGGGGTCTCTTTAGAGACTAACACGATTTGTGGCAGGGCAGGAGCTTTCCAGTGGGTCACTGCTCACTTCACCTTGACCTGTCAGTTGCCACCTGTCTGCCCCTGCCTTCTGACAACCCTCTTTGTGTACAGAAGAAGAAGAGGAGATTGAATTTATACCCCGCCCTTCACAACCCAAAGGTGTCTCAGAGCTGCTTACAAGCTCCTTTCCCTTCCCCTCCCCACAACAGACACCCTGTGAGGGAGGTGGGGCTGAGAGAGCTCTGACAGAAACTGCTCCTTTTCAAGAACAGCTGTGCCAGAACTATGGCTTGCCCAAGGTCATCCAGCCAGGTGCAAGTGGAGGAGGGGGGAATCAAACCCGGTTCTCCCAGATTAGAGTCCCCGCACTTAACCACTACACCAAACTGGTTCCTTGACCCTTCCAAAAGTTGAAGCCCTTAGAATCGAGTCCAAGGAGCACCGCAGGGACCAGCAAAGAGTTTGAGGGTGTGGGAGGGGTCAAAGTCAAAGCTTTCCCTTGTCAGCCACGTGCAGGAATGGAGATCTCGGAGTCCTCCTGTTCCAGTCAGAAGGTGGGAGGGGGTGTCGGAAAGAATGCGGGTAAAAGATGCAAGGGTCCGGTGCACATTCCAAAAGTTAGCCTCTTTCGAAACAGTCATTTCGCACAATCATCCCCAAAGAGCTTCTCCTAAGTAATTTTGCCTCCGGTAAAAACAACTTCCATCCTCGGGTCCCCCTCCCATGAACCATTGTTCTTCATACTCCATCTTCTTTTTCTTCACTCAAGCTTGTTGCTAGGTTACCAGATTTCCACTCCAGCCTTTTTTTAGCCTCTCGGCCCGTTCTCCTGACAGAATGGATTCGGTCTCCAGTTAGCTATTACCTTGGGGGGGGGCAGTGTGTGTGTGTGTGCATGTGTGTGTGCGAGCTCGCCTGTCTTGTGTCATGCCCGCCCGAGCGTGGCTGTTCAGCCATTGTCTTAGGGATGGGTGTTTCATGATTCTTCCAGAGTGGCGGCCGTCATAACAGCCAGTGAACTCTTTTTGTGCACCGGCCACAAAACCCAGCGGGGGAAATCCTTGATTATTTAGGAGTGGAGTGAATCTTGAATTTATTTCATCCACACGGGTATATTTGAATAATCTCACACTGATTGTAATCTGTTTTCTTTCCCTGTAAGATTTTAATTTTGGCCTCTTGGATGGTGGGTCAGTGTGCTATTTGTTACCAGTAAGCAGTTGCTTCCATCTCTTTCTTTGGAAGTTGATTGTAGGTGCGGAAGAAGCACTTCAGGTACCCAAGGAAGAGGAATTGACTCTGGCTTGTGCTCTCCCCCTACCCCAAAAGCTTTTATATTCCTCTGGTATGTAGAGAAATCCTCCTCTGTGTGAATGTAGGGTACTAGTGAGGAGAAAAGCAAGAGGAAGACATGACGGAGGTTTCTAAGTGGTAGCCACTCTGCATGTTGGACAGGAACATGAAAATCCTATACATGCCATTTCTGTGGAGGGGATTCTCTGGCAGAGTAGATCCTCACAGTACAGCTGGGTAAAGAACACTCTCAAGTAGTTTTATTGATAGAAAATGGAGGTACAAAAAGGGTAGCGATCAATGTTCCCTCTAAGCTGATTATTGTGAGCTAGCTCACAATTTTTCAGCCTCTGGCTCACACATTTTTGTCTTTGCTCAGGAAGGAGGGCTTCAGAGCAAACTAATTTATGCAGTAGCTAAATTGCTTGCTCATAACTTTAATGCCAGTAGCTCACAAAGTAGAATTTTTGCTCACAAGACTCCACAGCTAAGAGGGAGCATTGGTAGCAATGTCATTGGATTTCTTGTCACCATAATTATGTGGTGCTCACCAGGGCAATTGATCCTGACTACCTGTGTCACTGAATTCAGAAGGTGCTGACTATCTTGGAAAAGTTGGCGTCTGAGTCATGGCCTGGTTTAGTAGTTTCATCTTGTGTGTTCCTTCTCCATCTCAAAGGAGGCTTTGAAAATCCAGCCAAATCCATTTATTGCCACTTTCTTTCTTGCCAGGAGGTCTTTCTCCATCCACTCTTTCTTCTGGGAATTACAGTTTTAGATCAAGTTGACTTTCCAGGTCCAAGGTGGTAGTCTTTGAACACACTTGATCACTTTTTGAAGGAATTAAAACAGCATTGTGTTGTTGCAGTGTATTAGAGAGAAAGCTTCCTAGGAAGACTGAAACATTTCAGGGACAGGAAGAGTTTCACGTCACTAGAGCAGTCAGTAGATTGAATGGTTTTGTTATTCAATAACTTGCTGTCTCAGTGAGCAAATTTATTTAATCAGCTTTCCAGCTGTATCTTTCTGGACATTGCAACATTACGAAACCAGAGCGATTCATAGAACTACTCTTTGTAATCCTAATTCCAGGGCTATTTTGGGGCAGGAACGGAGTTCCGGCTGGCTTCAGAGTTGGCCATGCCCACTACAGCCAAAACCTCTGCATGCGTGGCTACAGAGGGAAGGCCTGGAGAGCGACCCCCTCCCCAGCGACTCCAAGGCGGCCCGGCCAGGGAGTGGCCCTGGAAGGATTGGGGAGGCATTTAAATGCCTCCCCATGCCTTCTCTGACCTGTCCAATGGCCGGCTTGCCTGGGCTCCCCGCAGCCGCAGGACGCCCAGGCAAGCCAAGGGAAGGCATGGGGGTGTGCCCTAATATGCTAATGAGTTTCTGCAGCTGGGTGTGGCCTATTATGCTAATGAGTTCCTGCTGGGCTTTTTCTACCAAAAAAAGCCCTGCCTAATTCCATTGCATTGTTTACTGGGTGCCTTAAAATATGTAATTACACAGTATAAAACAATGCAAGCTGTCTTGAGTCTCAGTTAGGAAGGTGGGCTGTAGATAAATAAGTGAATGCCCAGCATGGCATCAGTCTCATGTTGAGGATTTGTCTTGCATTGTTTCTGTCCTCTTCTCTTCCTGGGATTGGGTGTGATTTGAGCAAGGATATGACATCAGAATGACCCGTCTTCCTGAATCCTTCCTTCTTCCCTCTGTTAGTGTGTCTTGCACTGGCCTCTTCTGCAGTCTCCCAAGTCAACACAAAAAGAGAAGGAATTTTGCTGTTTTCTTTAAATAGATGTCTGTTTGTAGATGAAACAGAAAGCTCCCTTTTCTTGGGATTAAGATTATAGTGGGAATAATATCTTTACGTTCTTTGTGTACACTATGGGAAATTTTTTGGTCATTTGAGTATGGTATAAGAGAAACTTTTTTCTGTGGAAGAACACTCATAACGAGTGTTGAAGTCAAAATTGGAAATCCATGTCAGTTTTTTCAGGAAAGGTCCTGGAGCAGTTTTCATCTTCAATTAATTCTTAGGTTTGTATTTTTTTCCCCCTGAAAGTGTGTGCAAAAGATCTCTGCAAAACAGGAATCCTCCTGTTGTGTTCTGGCTCTGGGCCTGGGCTTTACGAGTTGCTTCGTGATAAGAAATGTAGTAAAACATCGTGGATGGCATTTTCTCGATTCAGGCTGCAATTCTAAAAATGCTTTCCTTTGAATAAAACGAGTCTTACTTTGAGGAGTGCTCCCTCAATCTCTCAAATGTCACCAAAGAATCCCGTTAAGAAGTTTCTGTTTTGAATGGAGCAGCAGAGTACAATAAGAATTATCTGTGTTGATGGAAAACCATGATTTTGAGATTGCTTCTGACTCTGAAAATAAGCCTCTCCCTC